CTTAAGGCAAGAAGTAGGACCCGTGTAAATATCGGATCAGCTTTCCAGAGCTGGAGATTACTCAAGGAGCGGAAGGCCTGTGATCGGACGCCGAGGTTGCTTTGTTTCTTCTCAAAAGGGTGAGTAACGTGTCTATACCGGACGCAACAGTTGTCACGCCGCGCCGCAACAACTAAAGTCTGTCTACACTGGACGCGACAAAGTGTCCTCAAATAACATTATAGTCCCATCTCGTCTTGTTAACGAAGACTCTGCATAAATTACGTCATAGGTTTTATCATCAGATATTAGTTTTAGCTCGTCAACGTCTTGTCTTAGTCACAGAAAAAATGTTTGTTAACAAATATTTTTCGTCGTCGTCTTTGTTGACGAAATTAACACTTCGAGTTGAATGGAATTGAATTTAAATAAAGTTGAATAAACTTCAACTTTACTGTTAAGTGCACTGATGTCAGACTCATTTTGGATAATAAAGTTTATTGTTAAATTGTTAAATGCCCTGCCTCCATTACATATCTTTGTCACATCATTATACTGTAAGTGTTTGATCACCACATTTGAGTGATCATTGCAGAAAATGTGTTTATGTATATTCTGTTTATGTATATACTGTATTCTATATATAGTACCAGTCAAATGTTTGGACACACGAATGGGAAAGTGTCCAAACTTTTGACTGGTACTGTACTATAATATACACAAAGAATATCGGCCGATATATCGATATCGGCCTTTTTTTTACTCCCTAATATTGGTATCGGCCCCCAAAAAACCATGTCGGTCGGGCTCTACTGAAAAGTGAAATGGTCTGACAGTCGTTTTGTTGATGTGTCTGAGATTGCTGTTACTGTAGTCACCAGATGTGTGTCTGTGATTGGCTGTTTCTCATCTTTAGGTGAAGAGCAGTTCTCCTGCAATTGTGATAGAGGAGAAGGAGGTTTCTCTCAGCTTCCCCAGCTACATCAGATACACGGTTCGAGTAGTGAAGCCGCAAGGATCGCTGACGGCGTCAGTGTCTGTGAGCAGCCCGTCCAGTGCTCAGGTGCTGCACATCCCAGTGTCTGTCATGCATCTAGCAGCCAGCAGCTCTTCTGTGCAAGGTTTGTTCCTCAACGTCTCTCTGACAGCATAGTGAGAGACATTTTTGGTGATTAAAAAGAATCCTTCAGAAGGATCTCAGCATCAGGAACAAGTGAGATGGTTTATTTTTAATGGCGCCCCTGATCATGTTGGAAGATTGTGTGTTCTTTAGAGCATTTCACTGCAGATTGGTTTGCTATTGAGGCATAATGTATTGCACAGTTTGCAATGGAACTTAACTTCTGTATCTGACAGCAGTTGCGTTGCAAACCACAAAAAAGTAAACAATTTTATAATGATTTGTCTGTAAATAACAGTTTTATTAGGGATAATGTTTTCAAAACACTCACATGCAGTAGTGTGGGGCATTGAATCTTTTCCCCATGCAGCCGATCATAACAGTGGTCGTTTACTGACAAGCCTTAAGGGAGACACCCACTAAAACTGAAGAGGCCAGAAAGAGGGAATATATATAGCTCATAAATACTGACCCATGCTGCTTCACTTTTCTTTCAGCACATATAGTAGATGGAGCTGACGGGCCCAATATTCTTCAGCAGTTCATCGACTCCTATCAAGTGATGTTCTTCACTTTATTCGCTCTTTTGGCTGCCACTGCTGTTGTCATCATCGGTAAACATGTCCACATCCTGCCCAACACTTTTCAGTATCATGGATAATTGCTTTCCGGACAGTGATTGTTCCTACATTTTATCATCATCATATATCTTAATTTGCTGTCTGTTTCTGTAGTGTGCCATGCACTGTTTTCCTCGAGAGATCCTGTCAATCATCCTGCGTTCATCCAGAAGACTCCGCCTCCTGCAGGTACATGCTCCTGCAAGAACGAAATCAGATATAACCGGAATAAATGCAACGCAATTAACAACTGATCTTTTATTTTTGGATGGATAATACAGTTCTTTGTGCATCAAAGGAAGCTAATGGATGTTTATTGCGTTAAAGCTGTCGTATCATATATTATTAATTGCAGCAAAAACTAAATGAGTAAATTAGTGACCTTTTTCCCACCCTCTATGATCCTTAGAAGTCTTAAAGGTAGATCACCAGAAACAGCCTGTTTATTTGTGTGCAGATGTGCTCGTCACAGCACTGTACTGTACTTACACCCGTCTGCGGGTTTTCTGTCACTGAATTGAGAAATGTGCTGCTCAAACTGTTACCTTTGGGGAAAAAAAGCTCATTTCAGATGCACTTCCTCAGAAGTGTGTGCAGAGTGGCAGGTGCTACACACAGATAGAACTGACAACATGCTTGCATTATTATTATTATTATTATTATTATTATTATTATTATTATTTCTTCTGCTGTTTAGAAATAGTAGTAACTTCACACGACTTCTGCAGTCATTTGTAGATGCTGCTGTTTCTGCAGGTGTAGTGAAGCTGACTGGAAGCCCCTTCAACAACAGCATGTCTTCAGACACGAAGGCAAGCCCAAGATTGCGCTTGTATTCACCAGACTACAACTCCAGATAAACCGTCTCCATCTGAAGACTGAAGAACGTGCATTCCCACACAGGAGTATAAGCGTGCTGGAAGATACGTGTGCAAGAGTATTGCTTTCATGCTTGAAACGATAGCTTTTTCATTTGAGTCCTCTTGTGCTGAAATGCTGCATATCTGACTGAATATAGCGGAGCTGCATATTGTTTTGCTTGTTTGATTATTTAAACGTTTGACGTGTGGACTTTTCCCCCCAATAGTTTTCATAGCTTGAGACATTCAATTTTTTTGTGATTTGCAATGTTAAACTGTTTTTTTGTTTTCTGAAGCTCAGGATAACTTTTGAAATGTAATGTGAGACTGCGGCTCGATTGTGTAGCATGTTGATTTGTGAAAAGTGCAACCACTGATTCCGTCCAAAGTGCTCTTACATGTGTTTGCTGTGCAGAAACCAACGGCCAGTCGTTTTGTTTTATGAACAATATTATATTGATTTTAATGATATGTTGAACTCTTTTGAGTTGAGTGCAGCTTCTTCCAGTTATTGATGTGAATGTTAAATATGTTTAAGGGCTTAATTCTGTTCAGTTGCTTTAGATTTAACGGGCTTCTGAAAGGACTGACTGGTACTCTGTGAAGTAGCTTTCTCTTGAACCTGCAGCAGATTTTGACATGATTGTTTGCTGTTCAAATGAAGCATCAGTCCCACAATAGATACATTACACTGATACATCTGTGACTGTGAGTGTTGATTCAAGAATGTGATCATTATTGACCGAAAAATGCCTCAGCCTAGATTTTTCTGGTATCTGCCTTTGTAAGCAAGAGCCATAATGTGACTCAGAACTGCTGCACTGAATAAAACCAGGAATTGTGAATCTGTCATAAGCTTTGACTAATCTGTAGATGTAACCACTTCTGAGCCTTTGTCAATGTATGTGCTCTTCTGTCATTCATAGCTTCCTCAAGTTAACCGCTTCTTCCTTTATTTACACCGAGCTTTGTGCAGCATGTTTGTCATCTATAAAAATTAAATATGCTCTTTTTAAGTATCACCTGTTCGCAGTGGTTTTTACATATTTGCCATTTGAATAAAAAAAAACACTGGTATATGGAATTAATTTGACCTTTGATTGAGTTCGGTTAGGGATTTGCCTTTCAGAGTCTGGTTCCTGTGGTCTTGTCCCGGTGGTCGTCTGAGACAAGGTCTTTACAGGGGATCACTTTAAAAAAAATAATTTGTATGTAATGAAAAGTGAATTTCAAAAGCACTGGGTTCTGCTGGTTTAAATGAGAAAAGTAAGGCTGAACTCAGAATAATATACTACTGCAATATCCTTAGATGACAAATATACACTGCATGCACAATTATTAGGCAAGTGGATATTCTGATCATATTTTTACAAGCATGTTTCATCTTCCAAGCCACATAAATCCTCATAATTACTGAGTATAATCATTTTCAGGAGTACAAGCATGTGTAATTGGTGATGAGGGAAGGTGTGATTTAATTTGGCTAACACTTTCATATGTGTGTAATTATTAGGAAGACTTCTACTACAGGTGAAAATGTCCACACAAAAAAGATTTAACTGACAATGGAAAGCCAAAAAATTATGAAATTTCTATCAGAAAAATGCAGTAAAGCATGACCATTGGACAATCAAGCAGTTTGGCAATAATAGTAAGCATGGTCACAAGAAAGATGTTGAGAAGAAATGCCACCATTTTCCAGAACTTTAACCTACCTCCAGATACAAGAGGTCAAAGAATCTGCTAAGGAAAGCTGAATCACAGGATGGATCATCAATATTGGGCCAAGAAATACATGAAGGCTGATTTTTCAAAGGTTGTATGATCAGATGAAGTCTTGGAGCAGATGGCAGGGCCCGTGCTCGACTCACTAATGGACACAGAGCACCAGTTCCTGTCAGTGTGTGTGTCGTAAAGCTGTGGGCTGCTATCATTAATGATGAGCTGGTTGGACCTTTTTGGGTTGCAGACAGACTGAAAATGACTTCCAAAAACTACCGCCAATTTCCGGAAGATACTTTCTTCATGTACAGTATGTGCTCCACTGTTTGGCTTGCCTGAAAATGCTTCTGAAGTGACAGAATAATGGCCTGGCCCCCTTGTTCACCTGAATGAAACCCTGTTAAGAACTTGTTGGCTGCTTCAGCTACAGCTGATCGAGAACTGATCAAGACACAAGACGGCTCAAAAGAAGAATATATATATATATATATATATATATTCAAAAAATTCAAAATTACGTTTGGGACTTATATCATTGTATCTCTTCAACAGTAAAATTTGTCATGAAAAATTGTAATAAGTATTGTGTAGTACAAGTGTTATGCAAGTATACTATTTCTTTAACTTTAGCGTTTTTTATTTTATTTTATTTTTTCAAAAACTTTCTTGCAAAAATGGTCTTACATTTACATTACACCATCACCACTTCCTCAATGTCCTCTTCAGAAACCTGTGTTTCAGTATCTGTGACTGTGGTGTTTTCCATTGTGTTATCAAAGCTGGTTTTTAGGCTCCTTGCAAATGTTATGCCAAATAACCTACAGCCAGTGTGAGTACTACCATGTGCTAATCCAATGTAGCCACTAATACTTGCCTAATACGCACTAATACGTTTTGACATACAGTAAGATTCCTCTAATATCCATTTCTAAACTCATTAAGGCATTTCATGTTCTTTTTGTTTTTAATATTATTTAAACTCTCTCATAATATGTGTGTGGAGGACCAATGAAGATATATTGTATTGAAAGCTGAGAGATTTCTGTCCCTCCACTGAAAGTTTGAACCATTTTGTGAAACTCATCTTTTATTTAACAAAAACATTAGATGATCAGTGTTGTTGTAACAAATGATCAGTCGTGTGTTTCATTTGTGACAGATGTAACGCTGTGTTGCTCACTATTAGTCACAAATATACACTAAAAAACTTGACTAATTGAAACTGAAGATTATAGATGATAGATTTTACAGTTAAAAACAGATCAGATGTCTGAATACACTGGCTGAACTTCATCTGAGAAATGTGGTGCATCACATATTAATGAAAGAACTGACATGAACATATTCCTGTAACCCTGCTGCATGATGGGATGGAGTGAATGCTTTCGCCAGTATGATCCCTTGTGTCTTGTTTCCAAGGGCGACACTGGTGCACACAAGACCAGCTCGCCACACCATATAACCTGCACTTGTGTTCAGATTTGTGTAAGTGTGGCAAAGCTATCTGCTTACAACACTGTTATTTCACCAAGAACATCACAGGTGTGTGTGTGTGTTTTCATGAATTTTAAATCGACAGTGTGGTATCCACAGATGGATCAAGAGACATTTATGTAAGTGTTTTCATGTGTTATTGTTATGCATTGTTTTTAACATTGTTGTGCTGCTGTAACTTTGACTGTTTTCATAATACAGCATGGCTTCTTGTACTTTATTGCTTAAAGCACCTATAGTGTATTATCTTGCAGCAACTGCAAGTACATAAAGTAATTCAAGATCCGGACTGCATTAAACTCATTTCACCAAATTATTTCAGGTATTTCAAAGACCCTTACAGTCCTATCATACCACAGTAAAAACGGATAATAACACAGACACAGACATTGATCAAGCTGACCAAACACATGACAAATAATGGGATATTCATTTGTTTTCTTTAGAAATTACTTTTAATATCCATGGAATTCTCTCTCTATCTCTGCATTATCACCTTGGAATTTGCATGAATTTTCAAAAACAATGGCCCGTTGTAAATTATTCCTTAAATATTTAAAAAGAAGAGAGAGAGAGAGAAACAACTTTGCATGCCCTTAAGCATAAAGTCAGTCATTTAACATCAGCTTCTTAAACTGAATTGATTGCATTGAATAGGAAAGTAAGAATTTGAAATGACAGTTAAAAGTCTGAACACCAACAGATGCTTGCATTTTTTTTTGTACTAATTAAACTTAATGATCTTTGAGGGTTGTTTAGAGGTAGGAAAGTTTGTACAGTATAAGAACCAATATGTCAAAGGAACGTCCTATTAAACTGTGTGTGTGTGTACAAGTTTATGAGGACACAAATTTGTATAATGACATATTACAATGTAAACATGGATTATGACACTTCTTTTTTCTTTTTTTGAAAATCTAAAAATTGAGAAATACTTGCAAAAAGAGAAAGGATGACCAGTTGTAGACAACGTATAGCCTATGACATAGTTCAGTTCAACCCGATCTCATGAAAATGCGTATAAATAGTACGCCAAATAAAAACGAAAACTCGTGGTATTGATACACAAAAATGGAATTTGGCGTGCATATGCTACGCGATGGGTAGGTTTAGGGTTGTGGGGTAGATGCGTATTATATGCACGCCAAACACATACGTATCATATACACGCCAAAGTCCATTTTTGTGTATCAATACCACGAGTTTTCGTTTTTATTTGGCGTACTATTTATACGCATTTTCATGAGACCGGGCTGTTCAGTTCAGAGGTCCTGCCATTCTCATCAATAAACCTACACAACTGTCAGAAAGTGTTTTGTGAGATTATGCTTGGGTTCATGTTGACATTGACAATCAGAAGTACATTTGTGTGTATTATCATTCTGATGCTGATCCTAATCTCATGTTGAAGATTTTCACCAGTTTCAGTTCTTCAGAACAGAAGTTCCCAAATGCAGGCTTGTAATTGGTGGAGACTTTAACACATCTCTTAATCCAAGACTGGATGCAAGCAAAACTATCACAGGACATGTTTCATGGAGAGAAAGAGTGAAGCAGCTCATGAGTCAGAAAGTCTCATGATCAGAAGCGTATATACACACTAATCTGAGACTCCAAATCCAGATTAGACTATGATTTCATGCTGGAGAATGATGTGGATTACGTGGAAAGTTGTGACATACACAACAATATCAATCTGTCTGATCTTTTCCTGTGACTCTTCCTCTGAACATGAACAACTGAACAACTAATGACACAAGCTTGGTTTCAGCATGTCACAACTTCACATAATTGACTAAAGCAGACCAGAGGTATTAATATATAGGTTTACAAAGCTTTTAGTTTGTCTTTATGTCAGACCACCAAATGACTGTCAGTTGTCAAAGGTATTTTAGTAGATAATTCATCTATGCCCTATTTTAAAACGCATTCATTCACATTATCACTGAAGAGTGTCTGCTAATGAATGAATCAAAATGTATTCAAATTATTCTGTACTCTTAAGGTTGGTTTACCGTCATTTTTCACTTTATAAACAATAAATAACAATTTAAAGCAATACATTTATATTCTACATTGTTAAAATAGTACTAGTCTAATATATCCAGCTGCTTTTCACAATGTTGCTGCTGTATGCATGATGTTCCTAGTGCAGCCACTTTATTGCTTTAGCGCTTCACCTGGCTTTATTTCTTTATTTATATAAAGTGGCCTCAAACGTTTTTGGACACTTATGCCACAATTAAAAATGAATATGTCTTTGCATTATATATCAAAATAAATGGCATTTATTTAAAATAAACAGTACAAAATGGGGAAATAAATATGATATTTAAGCAAAAACGAGAAAAATACTATAACTGCCATATATTGTATTGGGATGTTGAAGGCACTGGACTGTATCTATAAACTAATGATTAAAATACAGGTCAAAAACAGCTACACTGCCAGACGCGACGCGAAACCCAACGCTACTATGGCAAGCAAAAAGAGTCAGAATTACGCTATAGACGGCGCTAATGCGGTTTGGAACGCCGTAAAAACGGCGTTTTGTATGTAAACGCGATTTATCTTTAGCGTAATTCTGACTCTTTTGGCTTGCTATACGCTGCTGCACGTACAGTCTGCAAGCGTGACGCGTCCGTCAGGACTGCGGGTGGAATCGTGACGCAGACAACCAGTCGACCAATCAGAGCATTTGTTTATGCGTGCGGCGGGTTTATTCGACGTCGCGCGTTTGCAGTGTAGACAGCTGCGTTGTTGCGTCGCGTCGCGTCGCATGCGGTGTATTCAGGGTGCTACTGCGCCACCATTTATAAGTGTATTGTGCTGTATGGCAAGTGGATCAAATATTCTCTGCTGCACCACCAACTTCTTCCACACCTGCTATGGGAACGATATTTAAGCTATAGCCGTATTTAACCTTTAGTGGCACAAAGCCACCGCAGGAGACGCAGAGTCAGTATTTCACAGAAGCATGGCTGAGCACGGGACGCGCGCCCCTCTCATATATCACAGCGCGTCTTTACCTGGAGAAAAGAGGCAATATTTGACTCAGGTTAGTAAAGCTGAATGAGAAGACGATGGACAGCCGGACCGAGAATCCGACGAAGGCAGCGGGCTATCTGAAGGAGCTGAATAAGATCATAGAGACCCAGCAGACGCTGCTGGAGCGGCAGAAGAGGCGCATCTTTGAGCTGGAGCAGCATGTGTCCGACCTGTGCGCCGAGAACAGCCGCCTGAGGCACGAGTACCAGCGGCACCTGCTCTCCTGCAGACTGCGCTCCATCCAGGAGAACAGCCCGCTACAGCAGTAATACTCCTCTTATATACTTTCTCCAAAAAAGTGGTTCTTAGTCAGATATTAGAAGGTGAACGCGAATACACAGGTCGCTTATTTAAACAACACTTTTTATTTAATATATATTGTATTGTTTTTAGAGTTTGTCTCATTTTGGAGTGTGCTTGGTTTGATATTGAAAAATACATAATTCCAGTGTTCGGTGCGTCCAGAATGCTATTAAAGTAAATGATAAGATTGTGCTTTTTCCTCCCCCAGCAGCATCAATGCTTTTAGCTATAGTCTCCCAGCCTGACCATAATGTGTCCAAAACCATATAAAAAGACTTAGATACTGTCAAGCTAAACTAACTAACTAAACTATATTCTGAATTGAAACTGGCATTCTGAATTGGTGTGTGTGATGAATCTCTGATCTCATAGCAGGCTCCAAGGCAGCAAAGTTGCAGGTTTTAGTTAAATCTGCTGAATTCAGCAATCAAGTTCAAGAAAAATATGCACCAAGTGATACAATTTCCAAAGTTCGTTATGAGGGACTCCCAGGGTTAGAGGTTCATGGGGTCTAGAAAACCCCTGCTACCCCTGTAGTTCACACCTCTGCTGCAACTTCTAAAACATGTCAAGTAGCTTTACATGCTACAAATCTCAACATCACACATTAGTCTACCGGTTCTTCTGGTTGGTTTTCTTTCTCTTGCCCAGTCTGTAGTTATTTCATACATTAAGAAAACTACTATACTTGCTGTCAACAAGAAAGGCAGAATCACTTCCCTGAATGACTGCTATGAATGAATCTATTTGCACTCGAATCTTTTGTTTGAGTAGTTGGACAAAGCATGTGGCACCTTCTCACTGCTTCATGACTCCTTGAATAAGAGAGGAACAAATAATATGGCATTCAGTAACATAGTGCCCTCAAAGGACATTTCTCTCTGTACTGGATCTTTAATTCTCTGACAGAATATCTGCAGAGTAGACACCAACATATCCTCTACCAGGAGTCTGAGCACTGGTGTCCCACAAGGCTCTGTAATCGGCCCTGTACTCCTTTTTTACATATGAATGTATTGTCGAACATAACAATTTGGGTTTATTTATATTTATTTTCAATAATTTAGTTAAAGCAGTTTACAAAACTATTCTGGCCCAAACAGTTCATGAGTCAAAGCACTCACTGACTCATTAAACTGAAAACCATTGTTATTGCACATGTAAAGTTTGTAGGCTAATTAGCCAAGAACCGACGATTGAGCTGATAAAAAGAGGATTTGAAGTGTACAGAGGACCTGACTGCTGAGTTGGAAAAAATATCTTTAATAAGTGAACAGCAAGGATGTAAAAAAAATAAACATACTGGAAATATGTTTATGATTTGTCAACACACATACAGAAGAGAGTTAGTTTTAGTAATTTCATTATGCAAAAACCTTTCAACCTAGTGATGTAAATATATTTTAGTATTGTTTGTTGTTAATACAAATTATATTTATAGTAGGTTCTGATTGAATAAGCTTATTTAAGAGCTGATTTATGAGCTCAATAATGGCTACTACCAACTTCCTGGGGATCTGACATGAAATTACAATAATTACAATACAAAATTACAATAATTACAATAAATCCTTAATAGAAATACCTTAATAAATAGCAATATGTGCCTATGGGTGCATAGGCACATATTGTGCTCATAAACGCTACTTTATCAGGCGTTATACATAGGTAAGATGAAATGAAAATGCTATTGAAACTTATCTGAAACAGTTGGTTCCCTTCAGAGATACATTCATATAAAAACACCTGTGTATGAAACACTCGACTTTGAACTGTGCAGCGCCCCTTTTTTGATAATGATAAAAGATCAAGCTGAATTATTTGTGCATAACTGATATTCATGAGCTAAGGCTTAGCCATTTTGTGACCTCACACACTGCAAAGTACAGCATATAGAAACATCTCTGTTACCCTCTCGTGTAACCCTCGTTCCCTGAAGGAGGGAACGGAGACGTCACGTTGGGTGATGACCGATGAATTGGGGTCTCGCCAGAGAGACCAAACAACTTCGAGTGTAACTAAACGAGCCAATGGGCATTGGCATGCGGAATTCGCATCTGGCTGCCATACCTCGCAGCGTGGGTATAAGAGGCAGCAGGTGCACCGCATTCGTTCATGCTTTCGCCGAGGAGCCGAGCCAGTGACCCGGCAGCTCAGCGGTGGTACAGCAACTGTGGCGACGGGATGTGACATCTCCGTTCCCTCCTTCAGGGAACGAGGTTTACACAAGTAACCGAGACGTTCCCATTCAGTCGGTCACTCTCTACATCACGTCACGTGATGACCGACGAATTGGGATCCCTGCCAACACACCACAGGTGCTGCCCCCTCCAGTGCCCTGTGTAGGCCTCCTGACCCTTCCTTTACGCAGACGATAGGACCGGGCTCTACACAGAGGAGGTCGACTACTGCTGTTCCTCAAGCAACCCAACAGTAGGAAAACAGTGGATAACACTGGGAAAGTAACACTGCGAGTAACCCCGTAGGGCCCTAATGTACATGGAAGTCTCTGAGATGGCTCAGGCTGCATCATTTACACCGACGGACATTAGCCGAGCCGAACGACGACAGAAAGATAGAGATGGCGGATAAAAAACAAAAGAGGAAAACGTCTGTGGAACAAAAGAAGGCTTATGATAAGGCAAGAAGTAGGACCCGTGTAAATATCGGATCAAATGCCGCGCCGCAACAGCTAAAGTCTGTCAACACTGGACGCGACAAAGCGACCGTGGAAAATCATTTGAAATTGTGTCAGTACGTCATAAATAGAACGCAGCAGCAGTTTTCTGTCGGGGATTCGCTTTGTTTCACAGAACTAATAGTTGCCTGGGTTGCGTACGTATATGTGGGGTGGAGCTATCAAAATAGGGGCAAGACCCTTTTGGGGTAGGGGCGTGTTTGTTTTGGTGATTTGATATGTCAACATTGGCTACCAGAAATCACTTACCCCACCTTTAATTAGGAATGCTGTCCCTTTAAGACGGAAGGCATGCATTAATACTGACACGTTCAGTTTTCACCCACCTGTTTACGTTCACTTAATCCATAACCAACTGTATTTACGTGAGATACTCTACACGATAGACATTTGGACTGCTGTGTGTGTATTTGAGCACTGAGAACTGATCGCGTGCTGTATATGAGAACTGAAGAAGTGGAGCGTGCACTTCTATCAGCGTGATTCCGCCTATCCCGCCTTCACTAACTTTAAGTTAATCGACAACGAATTGTGACTCCTGGGAAAAACGGGACGTCTGCTCACCTTATCCCTACCCGTTCGGGTGCTGAGGCCATTGTTTCAGATCGCTAGTTCACATTTTGGTAGCCTAAATACTGAGACTAGATATGCAAACGCCCCTCATCCGACTGCAATCCAATGACAGGGACGCACATTTTGAAGGACAAGACAGTAGCCTATAGGATGTATTTTGAATGTCCGGTAGTCCTCAAATAACATTATCGTCCCGTCTCGTCTTGTTAACGAAGACGCGGCATAAATTGCGTCTTAGGTTTTATCATCAGATATTAGTTTTAGCTCGTCAACATTTAGCTCGTCAACAATATTAGTTTTCTGTGTCTTAGTGACAGAAACATTTTTCGTTAACAAATATTTTTTGTCGTCGTCTTCGTTGACGAAATTAACGCTGCTGTACCGTGGACATACATATATGGGATCCCAAAAGGGTCACTCATATGGGCACTAGCCTCACACCAGGTTTCAGGAATTCATTGGCTGAAAGGCCTGGTGAACTCTCTGGAGAATTAGGTGTTAAGGACACCGCAAGCCAACTCTGAACCGGGCCTCTCAGTGCCACTACCCGTTTGAGGTGAGAACACAGGAGGAAACCGATTCGACATGTAGGCAATAGAACCTAGCGGACGTGTTAGGAGTCGCCCAGCCCGCAGCTCTACAAATGTCTGCTAGCGAGGCACCACGAGCCAGCGCCCAGGACAATGCAACAGCCCTAGTGGAGTGAGTACGCAGCCTGAGCGGGCAGGGCACACCTTGTGCTTCATAGGCCAAGGTGATGGCATCCACTATCC